TCTTTCTACTGATCCAGTAGGACTTCCACACACTGCCAAAATCCATCCAAATGAGTTTCAAAGCTCTCCTTGCAAAAAGCCCCATCCATTATTAATGAAATCTTTCCACCACTATATTGTACTGAAGTTGGGAATTCCCGATCATCCAATTGGAATTGCTGACTGGATAGTTTTTGTTATTTCAAAGCTATCGAACGGAAATGTGGAATGCAATCGTATTGGAAACATAAATATTTATTCAGGACTGATCCTGTATACATCAATGTAAATAAGAGCCAACTGAATATCCGATATTATTATTATCATTGTTCGCATTGATTCCAGCTATGAAAATATTGCTATAAGGCAATCTCTGGTCAATATTCGTAGACGAAAATAATCTTCATACACTGAATAAATACTGAAATGAGATCCAACCATTCCGTATCATTGACGAAACTTGCACTCAAAAAAATTGATGGGTTAAATCAACATATGAAAATGAGCCTATCTCGTTTGATAATTGAATCATCCGTTCACTAGCAATACCAATCAGACGAACTAGGCAAGCCCAGTCAGCACATCCTTCCGTTGTCAACCTCGAAAGATGTCGAACAGCACTTTATCAAGACTCCTTCATCCATAGAACGGCTAAGCTCTGGAATTCATTGCCTGTAGAAGTATTCCCAACAACATATAATCTCCAGAAGTTCAAAAAAAATTCCAATACCAACCTCCTGTCCCTATCCTCCATAGGAACGCACGATGTTCTTTGAACATATAGGGATGATTTCGTGCGCTCCAAGCGATGAAAAAAAAAATAATCTCACAACAAAATGAGTGGTATGTTAACCATAATTTTTGTCCCTTCACTTATATTTTATTAAGAAAGCCATAATATTTGGTTCACCAACAAAGTGCATGATAGATATAGGGATATTGACTATTTTTCATGTTCTTGCACCACTGAATTAATACAGATTTCGAATGAACATCAAGTTTATTCATTACATAGTGGTCAACATTACAAAATATCTACAGTATAATTCTCTTCATTTGTAATTTCTCATCTCCGTTATTCGAATGTAGGTACTCTTCCATTTATCCTTTATGACACTCAATGGACGTTATTCAATTGCTACCACAGTTTATCATCTTCTTCCTGCAAGAAATGTATAGAATCGGAATATGAATTTGATAATGAATTCATGAATACACCATCACATAATTACGAACATTTGATGAATTTTCCTCATCATGATCATTAATTGGGAAGACTATACATCAGTGGTACTCCTTGACGAGAGATTTCAAAATTTTCTCAATCTCCTTGTATGGTTTTGGTACTTGTGATATACAACCTCCCTGGGGATATATCCACTTCTCCTATACTAAATGATCCAAAAATTGAAGAGAATCCTGAGAAACAGAGACGAACTTGAGCAATAATTCCATACAGTGTGTTGAATCATTACCAAATTTAGTACTCAATTACAACTCGATATTGAATACAGTGATTACATAATCGACTTACCAAAATCACTTCATTGCAGAATAGGTATAACGTAAAACGATAATATCAAAATAATATAGAACCACAACACAAAAAATAACAAAATAAGACACCAGCAACAAAATCTCATGTGGACGCTGTTGCCCTGCAAATACCAATGAGAAGATCACAAGCTCATTGTCAACCCTTTAAAGAGGGTTGGTTGATTTCAACCTACTGTATACGTTTGTCTATCAACTATGACCATGAACGAGCTGTAATAATATAAATTAGTTATACAACATAATATAGTTCATATACATCTTTAGAGTGATTTGAAATAGTTGCAGGTTGATTTTACCTTCCTTTTTGTTTGATTACCAACTTCAACAGTGAGCAAGCTGTAATGATATTTTAGTTACAATATAATATAGTTGAAATACTATCTTTAGTTTGATTCGAAATGCTTCTGAGTTGATTATAACTGCCTATTCGTTTGTCTACCAAATATAACAGTGATATAATGCTGTTGAAATATTGTTCCTAGTTCGATTTGACTACTTTTAACAAATTATTGGTTGTACCACAAAAATATTATCGAAACCAACTAATATTTTTGGTTGACGTTGAATTGGTTCATGTACAATTTTTTCTCAATTGTTTTAACAATCAAATAATCATTGAATGTACCATCATTGTAGTTTTATTCAACAATTATGATGATGTTGATTAAACACATTTTTTTGTCAATTCAACCCATACTATTTCTTTGAGTGTGCAAAGAACACTCTTCCGCACTTATCGAAGCCATTAGTATATGGTTCTGTGGTAATTTAATTGTAAGGAAGCATTTTTCACTCCAGATGAAACTAATCGCGAATTTCACAGATAATTAAATCCAGAAATTGAACGAAACCAGCAGCGGAATGGAAGTGCCATTGACTTTTTGTTGTTTTTCAGCGTTATTATCCGTTACCAGAATGGAACAAATGAATCGTGAAATCTAGGACGCTTTCAAGTTATTTCAGAAGATGTCAGCATTGTTTTTTTATGGTTCGAATAATCCCGAGAATATCCCCGAAGGAAAGATCATCTTGCAGATCTTCTGTTTATTTTTGAATATTCATTTCAGAGGGTGAATTGGTGCTCATCAGGAAAATCTTTTTTTTTTCAAAATGATTGTCCAGTTTGCCTCATCAACTCCATATTGTAATCGCTTGATGAATAAATCCAGAATATAAAATACATACTTTTATGCAGGGTGTTTCAGGAAAACCTGATCTGACAATTATTATTGTATGAGAATATTTTGGTGTAAATGAATACAACTCTGAAATGAAAATGTCCCTATGGGTGAATATAGCTGCCACGACAATTTCTAACTCAGAACGAGCGTATGTATACACAAACAAAATGTTGTCAGAGTAGAATGAGCATCAGGGTTTATAGATAGGATTAACTTCACCTGGTAAAGTGGTATAGGGATCCGTCAATATTTTCCTTATAGATCCTTTTCTATACTGAGTCAGCATCCTTCGATGTTACCAAATGACCTCACTTCCTAAACAAACATCTACCCTCTGAAGTAGTTCTTGATAATTGTTGGGAATCAAAGGAATCTTTGAACGAATTATCAACCGATGTTTCTACAAACATTCCTATGTAAACGTATTCGAATTGACCTTATTTTTTACAATATTTCTTCTATTCCCTTAACTGAAGTGGCATCCTAGCATATATCATAAACCATCTTGAATTTTTTATCAATCATAGATTCACAAGCTGTGATTCATTCTTTAATGATTACTATTTCACTCATCATATTATCTGACCAACCAGATACTTTTTGAAATTAAAATGACTAATTTGAAATACAAATGACGGATTTTGAAATTGACATGACAATTTTTAAATACTTTAGATACTTTTTGAAATCGAAATGACTGATTTGGTATACAATTGATTTTTTTTTCAAAATTAACTAGAAGCTTTTTGAACTAAAATTTGAGAAGGTGTAGAGTATTTGAAAAAGAAACGTCGCTATGGTATGGAGAAGGAAATGGAGGTATATAGAAAAATTATCAAATTTAAACTTATCTTTGAAAGTTTCTAGAACGAATCTGCTTCCGTTTTTAACATTAAAAATGGATTCTTTGTATGCCAAATTCGTATTTGTCTTGACACTTCTCAGTTCTCAGTGACAATTAGTGACGTTGGTAATCAAATGAGTGAGTTACAGTATATTTTCATCAATCAATCTTGAATTCACCATTTTTATTTTCAGATTTCAGTAGTGAATACCATGTTCTATCTATATCGACTGAACAGGAAGCAATGCTACTGCGTCCGTTCAGAAGTATGCAAGCAGATTCCTTGATTTTTCTCTTCTGGTTGTTATCCACTCCGCCATATGTTGTCCATCTTCAGTGGGGATATTTTCAGCAAGTTTCGATTTGTCGATGTGTCTTTCCTTTATATTGTACTCATGTTCCTTCGTCCTCACTGAAAGAGGTCTCTTGATTCCACCTGTATAAAACTTTACACAAATACAAGGTATACTGTGAATACAATTTTTTGACGATTTTTCTTAATTTTTTGGCTTTGTTTCAGTTAGAATTGATCTCATTGTATTTACAGTTTTGAACACGTTTTATTTTTTCAGATATACCGGGAATGTATTGTATTATATATGTCGTCATTGATGGTTGATTTTGTTGTGGTGGACCTTGTTCGTTTTCAATTTGATAAATCGTCATATCAATGAAATTCTTTGTTCAGGAGTTGGGTTGGAGAACATTTTCGATGTGGTGGAATTCGTTGATGAAAATTTGTTGGTCAGATGATATCGATTTGGCTTTATCATGGACAACATATTGTAGAGTGGAATAATATCAAAATCATTGGAAAAAAAGATAACAGCCAGAAGAGAAAAATCAAGGGTTCTGCTTGCATTCTTCTGAACAGAGACAATAGCATTGGTTCCTGTTCAGTGGATATAGATAGAACATGGTATTCACTATTGAAATCTGATGATGAAAACGGTAAATTCGAGATTGATTGATGCAAACAGGAGCAGATTTGTTCCCAAACATCCAAAGATAAGTTAAAAGTCGATATTTTCTCTATATACCTTTATTCCTCTTCTCCAAACCTTCTTCAATACGAGTTGTCACTGACAAGCTAGTGAATTTTCCTTTCACACGCAGTGACATTTTGATGCAAATCATCTGATTTGCCCTTGAGACACGTATATTGGAATAATATTGATATTTTATTTTATAGAGCGAGGAGAGGAAATTCCAAATAATCTGGAATAATGAATGTATCACTTTCTCGATTAACCTACACACAGTGCCTAGTGATTAGTCGTGTATTAATTCGCGTGGATGTATTCCCTCGAAACTTTCTCGAAGCAACCTGCACCCCTATTCAGTGCATAATTCACCAGGCAACGGCTCTGCTAACAGTCGATTCCTGCTAGGAGCATGCAGGAAACAATAAATTAACGATGATCCTGCCAAGAGCTTACCTGAACGTGAGAGTGGTGAGAGGCCTGTAGGATTTATGGCTGTGCGAGTCACTCATGGGCGTGCCCCAGAAATCGTTGCCGAACACGTGACCCAACGGGTTGACAGCCAGCACGTCCTTGTTCAAGGTCACGGCGGGAATGTCGTCGTGCACGAAGTCACCTCGCAGGCCGTTCGCGTAGCACAAGATGGCGGCCGTCAGGACGCATGCGTATGAGGTCGGCTGGCCGTACTGCGGTGCCTTTCGGGGGGGTTTTCGTTTGGGTTTGTCGGTGCCCATGGCGGGAGAAAGCATCGGTCGAGTTTGCGGGGGTTAGGATGAGTTTTTCGGTTGGTGGATGGTTTGGGGATGGTCGGTCCAAGCAGGTTTCTCCATTTTCTGGAACAGAAAAAACTAGGTAAAGAAATTTTTTTTCAGGATTCAGTATACTGTGCAACAAGTGGGAAAAGTTCAACTTTTGTCACGAGTGTGGAGGCAATCTGTTCCAGAGCCTCGCTGTGAGTGAGTTTGTGAGCAAGACATCACCCACGAGACGAATTTCCCTTTTTTGGACAGAATACAACAGTTTCAGGGTATGTTTGCGTGCATGCTGCACTCCGAATATGGGAACAGTAATTCAGGACAGGTCGGATATGTGCCTTATAGATCATAAGCAGCTGACTGGAAGTGATAAATGTATGTATTAAATAGGTACGAAAATCATACCAAATCGGGCCGGTCAGCTAGTATGGTTACAAGGAATGGTACGACAATGTGCTCGTTTTCTAGAATAACCCTACTGTATCTGGAACACCAGCAGGAAATCTACATGTCTTAGAATGGCCCTAATACAATTCTGAATTGATTGAGTTATAAGTTTGGCAAATCGGTTAATTTATACCGTATCTCTCTGTCTCTTAGGGCACCAGCTGTGATTCAAAATCCCTATTATGAAACCTTATTCCCTTTACTGTTGCTGATTCATGATCGATAGTCTCGCAGCTACAATTAGATTCACACTGTTCCAACTGAAATCAAATTAATATATCCAAGTTATTCGGCCAATTCTTCACTCAACGATTAGAATATTGGATGCATCCGTACTCTATACAGTTTGATGCAAATTTATGGAATGAATTCATTGTCTCAAAAATGGGCGACTCTTGGAATAAATCCGAAAACATGTGAATTCCAATTTTTGAAGCCCAATCTAATGATATTTATATGAGAGATGTTACGTAATATCTTATTCAAATGGTCTTCTAATTGCCAATACAACAGTATGTTATTCGAATATTCATTCACAAAGGGTCAATCAGAACTGTTTATTTATTGAAATACAATGAAATCAAAATAATTGATGACTTTTAGTGATAATGCAATATGGATGATGCGCAGTAGATTGTTCTCTTATGTTCAAGGTAACTTTAGGAGTTATTTGTGCATTCTCGGTTCTGATGCATTTCTCTATTTGATAATTCATTCTCCATAGCTGTCCATAGTCACTGTCGATGATTATAAGATTTAGTTCGATTCCTGAGGTCATTGGTAGATTATAAGCGAAATACATATTTTTATAAAAATGAAATCAAACAATTCACTGATATTGTACATGACTAATTCAGAATTGGAGTGAACATTTCTTTTAATCCATGTTTTTTTTTTTCATAGAAAACACTACGATGTTCAATTCTCAATAGCGGACCTTTGTACAATTAAGATCGACAATCATTCTTTGTAATGTCTATCTTCTAATACACAATTTTGATTGACCTAAACCTATACATAGGAAGGTATACCACATATAGTTTGTTTTGAAAGTATATTTTCCTGACATTCACAGTCCTAGCTAGACAATATTCATCCACCCTAGTTTCTCTCATGTGACACAAAATAGTTATTTGAGTACAAAGGACGAAAAACTGTCTGATTTTTATCTCATCAGGAGATACTTTGTCAGAAATCCAGATCGATTTTATGCTTATACGAATTCCAAGAAAGGATAATAATAAATATGATAAAATATTCATGCCATTTCGATCTTTGTCACATGATATTGGGAAAGTCATCAAACGTAATCATAATAGATACATTGATACATGAAATGAAGTAGAATCACAAATATCACCGACAGAAGCTCACAAAACAATTATTATGAGTAGAATATTGAAATTGTGAGAGGAACAGGAGAATGATGAAAAATTGTATCGACAAGATATTATCCAGTATAGCATTGTCATTCATGTAATGGAATGAACCTATGACGTCATAACATGATGTACTTTTAGTTAACAGATGAGTAACCTATTTCCAAGATAATAATCATATTCTTAATTCTCGATTTGGAAATACCTACCAACAAATATCACAAAATACAGTTACAAAAAAGATTTGAGTACATCAAAAACAGGAATGAATAGTGGAAATTAACAACAAATATACAAAACAAATAATAAGAAACAAACATTACAAACAAACTGTTCAAACAGAGGTATATAAAAACTCAGATTTGATCAGAACCAAATGAAGTATCATCATCTCAATAGATGATTCGAATTTTATCATTGAAAATATGATTATAGGAAATAGGCATAATGAAAAATATTTCACTTCGTTTGAAGAATGTTCATGACTGAAATAATTGGGCTATTATGTGAATGTCAGAGAATATGAGAACATTTTTGCCTGCATAAATAAAATAATTTCGTCCTCTTTTCCACATTTGAATACTACACGATGATCCCCTCATTGTTCGTAAAGTGTTCAAGGCAGTATATTTTCCCAGGTATTTTAAAACATACCAGTTGGTTCTCTATTCACACTCATTTTCAAAACATTATTTATCACTAGGATAATCCCTGCTCTTTATATTCTCAAAGCAGTTTTAGCACGATATGCCTTGTTCGTTAGCCTAACGTATGGGGTTGTATCTCCCAATGCTGTGAATATAAATTCAGTCGAAAATGCGAGTGTAGATATCAGTTGAATCTATACTCCAAATAAGGATGAAATTCCACTGTTTCCACTCTGATAATTCTGCAGATATATTCGAATGGTCGTATTGGCGAAAAACACAGAACATTTTAGGCTGACACGGAATCTCAATCATCCAAGAGTGAAAATAGCTGTGATAGCATTGGTACGGTGAAAAGTACATAGCTGAATGTAACTTCAAACATACCAGCAGAATGTTAACGTGGCAATACAAACGGTGAACAGGGTTTTTGTGCATGCAATGTGAACGAATTGCCGCAATTTTTAACGCTATTATGCATTGTGAAACGGCTTTGAATATGATATGGAGGTATCATAGCATTTGGCGTGATTTGGAAAGCCGATTTAGTCAAAATCTCTTTGAGGTTGTTAACCACAATGGCATTTAGTCCAATCGAACTGGAACTCTATTATAGAATTACCTACTGCTATATATCTCTGAGAACAATGGAGATAATCATAAATTTGAATTATAAAAGGTGGAACATCACACATACATATTCTGAATTTGGATTCCTACATACTCAATTTCATTGTGATATTGATTGTCGATTTAACAGAGAAAATTGCTTGGATTGATGACATTTCTGGTCCATTTACCTATACAGGGTGTCCGTTTTTCAAGCTGCACCATGAGAATCTCAGTTATTATAAGAGACACGAGCTCAGTTCAATTCAGAATTCAAAGTGCCAGAAAACGGTAGAAATCCACGCGAATTATCGCTTTTCCAGTAGAAAATGACCTGCTGAATCAAATGAGACCATAATCAGCTCCGTAGGACAGATAGTTTTCAAAGTCAGCTTTTCGCTTTTTTTGCCAATTGGAGCACTCCGGTAAACTACTACGTCTCCATTTCCCAAAATTTCCTAGTTTTCATCACAGATTCGTTGATAACGACATCGAATTAGTCTATGTGAATTTTTTTAGATTTTTAATAGGCCAAATAAAAATTTTCATTTTCCCACCTAAGACTTCCATACGATATAGTCACCGAGCCATCTTCGGACAGCCGAAAGTGCCAGAAAACGGCAGAAATCCGCCCAAATTATTGCTCTTTCAGTAGAAAATGACCCGCTGAATCGAATGAGAGTATAATCAGCCTCGTAGGACGAATAGTTTTTGAGATATCGGCGCTCAAAGTCAGCTTTTCGCTTTTTTTGCCAATAGGAGCACTCCGGTAGACTACTACGTCTCCATTTCCGGAAATTTCCTAGTTTTCATCACAGATTCGTTCATTACGACATCGCATTAGTCTATGTGAATTTTTTTCGATTTTTAATAGGCCAAATAGCAATTTTCATTTTCCCACCTAAGACTTCCATACGATATAGTCACCGAGCCATCTTCGGACGGCCGAAAGTGCCAGAAAACGGCAAAAATTCACGCGAATCTTCGCTTTTACAGTAGAAAATGACCTGCTGAATCGAATGAGAGCATAATCAGCCCCGTAGGACAAATAGTTTTTGAGATATCGGCGCTCAAAGTCAGCTTTTCGCTTTTTTTGCCAATAGGAGCACTCCGGTAGACTACTTCGTCTCCATTCTCCAAAATTTCCCGATTTACATCACAGATTCGTTCATCTCGATATCGAATTAGTCTATGTGAATTTTTTCAGATTTTTAATAGGCCAAATAAAAATTTTCATTTTCCCACCTAAGACTTCCATACGATATAGTCACCGAGCCATCTTCGGACAGTCGAAAGTGCCAGAAAAAGTCAGAAATTTACACAAATTATCGCTTTTTCAGTAGAAAATGACCCGCTGTTTTTGATATATCGGCGCTCAAAGTCAGCTTTTCGCTTTTTTTGCTAATAGGAGCACTCCGGTAGACTACTACGCCTCCATTTTCCAAAATTTCCCGATTTACATCACAGATTTGTTCATCCCGATATCGAATTAGTCTATGTGAATTTCTTCAGATTTTCAATAGGCCAAATAAAGATTTTCATTTTCCACCTAAGACTTCCATACGGCACATTTTCATGATGAACATTCATCTGCAAGAAAATTCGATGTGTCATAATCAGTTTTTGGATTATTTAAAAAAAAAACGGATATTTGTAATATTCGTTTTCATACTTCGAACGAGAACAAAAAGACCTAGACATTCTGAAGGCACTTTTTTGCAAGCAATCTGAATCTGTCATCGTATTTTCCATGATGTTCTTGATGCCAAAGTTACGACATTCAACTTTGTGCTTTCTCATGGGCCCAATATTGGATTTGCGCATTTTTGAAAAGTCATTTTTCGTCTGAATACATTGATGTATCACACGATATGATCAACGAATCTTTCCTGTTGATCAAAATTGAGAAAAACCATTTGTGCGAAGAGTGCTTTGGAAGAAACGCCAACAGTTTTTTTTTTTTTTAAACTGAGTTTTGACTGTTCAATTGAATATG